CTTGTTCTACGCCGTGAGGCTCTGCGGCCACTGCGCGCGAGCGTACAGGGCAAGCTTACCCTCGGAACTGCATCGCATCGTGGACGCTACGGGAGGGGCACCGGAGAAGTACCCTGCAGAGATGGGGGGGGAGGCTGCGTCGTGTCTTCAACGCAGTGTTCAACCTTCTATGGCAATCGCGGAGAAACGTTGTCCGTTACCACCACACGGCTCGAAGCTAAGTTAAACGGCCGTTGCGGGCATTGGTTAGTCAACCCCTTAGAGGTGTCAGTACGGCAAACGGTCTCTGCTAGTTAAAAGTTCCTGTGATTTGGTTGCGTCTGTGACTGTTTTTGCTGATGCAGAATTTGAATACAACGTCACGTGCAGCTGCTTCCTACAGAATGCCAAGAACCAGCGCGCAGATTGCATGGTCGACCGAGGTATGGCGGGGGGGAGAGCTGATCAAAGTTATTCGAATTAGGTTAGTTGCCAAGAAAACGTTTGGAATCTTCCGAGCCCTCTGTGCGTTGTCGTTGTTGCGCCTTACCATGCCCTCTTTGGCAACACCACAAAATACTTACGCGCATCCCTGCTAGCTCACTGAGAGAGTACGTACCTGTTTCTGCGTACGCTGTACGACACTCAAAGGATAAAGTGGGAAATGTTTGCTGCCAGTCATTATAGCTGAGGGGTCGGCATTCCGCCGCCGTCCTTCATCACAACGGAAAGGTGGCACGCCGACCAATCAACAAAAAAAATGTAGACAGAGGTTTCCATCCAGCATCTTCACTCATCACACTGACCAACCGGGACAATTTTAAACAAAGGCGCACAGCCACCCCAACTATTCTGAAGCTTTTGCCTCAGTTTCTCAGACCAATATCCGTGGAAGTTTCATTCGACTCCCCCACACCTTGCCCGACCCGTGCCGCTGCTCCGTTCGCGAGTGCGTGCGTCCCGGCCGGCCGACGGCGCCGCGGGAGAACACATGACTGCCGGTGGTTCCCCCTCTCGCCGCCGGTGCTGCTGCCGATGCTGCCGCTCCCGCCGCGAGTTCCTGCGCCCCGGTCGTCTACCCCGCCGCCGCCGCCGCCGCCGCCGCCGCGGGGAAAACCCTGCCCGCCAGGGGTCACCACTCTCGCCGCCGGTGCCTGCTACCGATGGTTCGGCTCTACATAGCTGCGAGTGCCTGCACCCGGTCGTCTCCCCGGCCGGCGTCGCAGGGAACACATGAGTACCGGTGGTCCCCCCTCTCGCCAACGGTGCTGCTGCCGATGCTGCCGCTTCCGCCCCGAGGGCCTGCGGCCCGGCCGTCTCCCACGTCGCCGTCGCCGCCACGGTGAAAACCCAGCCGCCAGGGGTCGGCCCTCTCGCCGCCGGTGCTGCTACCGATGGAACCGCTCTAGCTGCGAGTGCCTGCACCCCGGCCGTCCCCACGGCCGGCGTCGCAGGGAACACATGATTGCCGGTGGTCCCCCCTCTCGCCACCGGTGCTGCTGACGATGCTGCCGCTCCCGCCAAGAGTGCCTGCAGCCCGGCCGTCTCCCCCCGCCGCCGCAGGGAAACCCCTGCCGCCGGGGGTCACCACTCTCGCCGCTGATGCTGCTACCGATGCTGCCGCTCCCTCCACACGAGTGCCTGCGCCCCGGCCGTCTCCCCCCCCCTACCCGCTGCCGCCGCGGGGCAAATTCTGCCGCCGGAGGTCACCCTTCTCGCCGCCGGTGCCGCTGCAGCCCATCCGGTGGAAGCCTATCGCCAAACAACTAACTTGCTTCAGGTCCTGTCAGCCCATCGGGGAGAACTACTTGAGGCGTTTGTTCGTGCGATTCTTTCTCGTTTACTTCTTGTGTTTTGCATGTATCCTGTGATCGTAGGTTTTCTTCGGATTTAGTTCTTTGGCCTTGTCATCGTCGGCACCACAGTTTCAAGGTCTTCATCGCGGTCTGGACGTCTTCATTCTTCAGCCACTTTGTTCTTGCTGTGTCTCGTGCTCGAGAGTGTTACCGTAGTAAGCTCACTTGCTGCGGCTTCCCGTAAACAAAACAAAGGAAAGCTTCAGACTGGCAACGCCGACGAACTCGTCGAGGAAGTTGCACATCTTTTCCATCCACTGGAATGCATCTCTTTGTTGTGCAACGAAGCATCAGCGCTCGAGTACGACGGCCTGCGCACTCTCTACGAGCTTTTCAACCAATCATCAACACGAACCCGTGCCTGACACACACTGGACCACGCGCGCCTGACGGTGCCCTTCTTGGCGTCGAGCTGTCCGACCCCCTATCTGCGACAATCTACATTTGATGTGCATGCATGCAATCAAACTCCACAATAATTTTCAATTCTGCAGCTCAGCTTCAGTCTCTCAAACCTAAATTCATTTTCGGCCCAGACCGACCCTCTTATTCCGATTCCCCCGCCCGTGCCCGACCGTGTCTCCAAAGCCGATCTCGACCTATGACGCACGGCTCGCGACATCTCGAGTATGCCTCGATAGGGCATCTCGAATCTTGTCCAGTCGCCAAGTTTGGTCGGTATCCGCGTGCAGTAGCGTACGTAACAGGTGTGCGACCACGTGAGACCATCGCGCTGTTTCTCTCTCATCTTTTCTGGCTCGCCGTCTTACCGTCCTCATCGTTCTTTTAGGAAGATTGGAACCTCATGGTCAGCTTGGCAGGAATCAATGTCGCCAACAGCGCACGTTTAGCGACATCTGGAGTATGCCTCGATAGGGCATATCGCGAGCAATGCCCCAAGGTCAATTTTTACCCCCGTCCGCGCGCAGCAGCAGACACAACAAGTGTGCGACCTGCATTGCCTCGTCGCCCTTCTCTTAGTCTCCAAGCATTCGGAAAAAAGTGCATCTGTAGCCTTCTCCAAAAGGTCTGAGAAAATGAATATATCCTCTCCTCCGATTTGTTGTAGAAATATGTCGGCCTAATATCAGATTGGTCGGTGGGGCTCTCCGGTCCTCTCGTTCAATGAATTTCGGACGAATGAATCTCACTTCTCCTTTTCTTGTCCGGCAAAACGAAACCCCGGTTGTTGGCCAGCTGAATGAATGTCGGGAAATGAATCTCATTTTTCCTATTCTTCTAGAATGATTTCCAAGAAATGAATCTTACTTCTCCTATTAGGGTCAACAAATTCGGGAAAACAAAACGAAATCTCAGGTTGTTGGCCGGTGGGGCTTTCTGCCCCCCTGGCTCAATGAATTTCGGAGAAATGCGTTCATCTCACTTCTCGTTCTCTTGAAGAAACATTCGGAGCAATGAATCTCAACAGCCGTAAAATATTCAGGAGAATTGAATCTATCTCTGGTCGTTGGCCGGTGGGTCGTTCCGCCCCCCTCGCTCAATGAATTTCGGAGAAATGAATCTCACTTCTCCTAAGACCATTGGCTCGTACGTCTCCTATTGACTTTGTAGAGCATTTCGGAACAATGGAATTCCAGGTATGGTATCGCAGCACCACAATGTACAGCCAAACTAATCAGGGCGGGCGCGATTGTGTAGCCCATCAGGACGATGTACACCGCCTTAGGAGCGACTGTGGAGTGTCAGCCCATCAGGACGATCTATATGGCCAAGACCAACTGCGGAGTATCAGACCGTCAGGCCAGAAATCTACGGGCGACAGCAATCCCGCCAAAACCGCACGCTGCGGAAGGGAACCCATCAATCCTTCGGGAAGAACTTCGTAAACGTCGTCACTGGCGAGGAAGTTTGTTGTTGTTGTTGTTGGTGGTGGTGGTGGTGGGAAGTGTTGGTGTGGTGCTCGTGCTGGTACTTTTAGTGCTTAGCCTGTGGAGTCAAGGAATCCGTCCGTTACAAGGTACTTCTGGGGATGCCTCTTAGTGTCTACTTCTTTTCCATGCCCGCCGCCGATTCCGCGAAAACTCCGCGGCTACCCACTAGAAACAAAATCATCTTCAGACAGGCAACGCCGTCGATACTCGTCGCGTTCATTTATCACAATAATATTATTTTCATATGTTTCAAGCCGTTGTTTTTTATTTAAACAATACTTCGTAGTATGTACTTTTTGGGTTTTTGGAGGACAAGCACATAACATCACCAGCACCATTCATTCATTATTTAGCTCGCACCAAGGGCAAATTGCATACCAATCTCATCCCATACCAGATTGATTGACCATCTTCATCTGATATCTTTGGTTTTGTCTCCTCATACGATTGTTTCCTGCATGGTCATTCATGAACGAACTGTTGAACCGTGGCCATCCACGGCGGGCGTGGAAAAGACACTGACTACGCAATTTTTACAACGACACTGATTCAACACCTCTTGTTGTCTGTGTGAGGAGCAAGAAATATTCGCTCATCCATTCGGTGGTCCCGCGGGCCTCCACAAGTTAGTCGTAACAAGTTTGAACAGCTCCCCACATCTACACATATTTTGGACGCCACCGATGCTGTAAATACTAGTTTTATGCCTGTGGGGAATTGGAGTATCGCACACGTCGGGCTGATTTATCTTTACGAGCGAATGTGGGCGATCCTTCCTACACTAAACTCAACCATTGGGCGCGCTCATTTGACGAAGTGTTGATGTTTCAGACACATGAACATGAAGCCCTGCTTGTGATCCCGGAAGTTCACTCGAAGTAAGTGTGGTCTTGATTCAGTGGTCAAGTGTTCCCAGCCGAGGGCTGCATGTCGGTGACACGGCGGGCCTCGCGTTCCTCTTCAACGAACACCGCATGGTGTACTGTGTGCAAAACAAGAACGCCTCTCTTCATCCGCGCGCGTAGCGCCTCTATGTTCTGCCTTTGTCGACGGTAATATCCCGGACGGGAACAACAACCGGCGAACCACCACCACCACCACAAGTAGCAGCAGCAGCAGCAGCAGCAGCAGCAGCAGCAGCAGCAGCAGCTACAGCACACGATGAGCCACCTCCTGGAAGCCGTCGCCCTCTCGCCTGCTACCGGTCTCCGTGTGCCAGCCGTTTTTGCATCTTCATTTTCGCTCGGACTCCCTGCCGGGCACGTTGCGAATAATGCGAGGGGCGGCCGCAAGAGGACGTCAGGAACGGGAGGAGGTTCGGGTTCAGCGTCTAAGCCCATCCTGGGCCCGATTAGGAGACGGAAGGCTGTGGATTCTGGTTGGGAAAACGGTGGGAGTGGAAAGGAGGACGGTCAGCAAGGAGTTCACGCCACACTTCCTGGACTTCGAGTCCCGTGTCGGTTTCGTGAAGAAGGTGGGCGGTAGGGGCGGTGGGGGCTGAGGTGGAGAGACTCTTTGAGTTTGCATTCAGCACCGTGTACAAAGTGGTGCTAGTTGCTGAGTGCTGCACGTTGCACTGCTGAGTGGCTAGATGGTAGACCAATGACCAGCTTGTTCGGTTTGGTCGAGCATAGCGGCCAACGGAGCCGACCACGACGAAGAGAATAAGATTTGCTTTCAATGCACATATGAGTCTTGGTGTGCGTATGTGCGTGCGTTCCTTGTTTTGGCATTCACCGTTACTCGGCTGGCCAGTAGAACCGCGTCAGTCCAAGCAGTTGGCAATACCGCTTACACTTTGCGCGGGCCCCCCTGATGGGACTGAGCAGGTCGGTCCGGTCTTCGGACGGCGTACATTAACGCCGACGCATGATCTCATTACTTAGACAACATGTCCGCTGGTCGGGGTTGTACACGTATGCTATGACCTGCACGGTTACGCTGAACGGTAACTCGACCTTCCACGCGCACTTCTCTGGAACAGACCCAGTAATTATGAATGATGACAGCTCCGCTTGTTTGCTCCCGGCTTGTTTCTAAACCGCATGCCGCCGTACTTGACGCTTTGTATCCAGGTGGTGTACGCGGGTCTGGTGTGTGCCACGATGAGGGGCTACCGAGATGTAATCCTTGGACTTTTGTTGGGATATGGGATCGTACAGCAGATCCTGTTTATCAGTAGCACGTTGGTGACCACCATTTTCACACACGCGATCATGCGGAAAAAACCCGAGGTCAGCTGAGCGAGACACGACCACCGGTGCTGTTGGCATGTCGTTCATACGTCACTTGGGTTGCTACGGGATTGTCTGCTCTTTTTTTGCAGCGGTGAGCGAGGCACAAAGCCCCTCCGGGCTTTAGGTTGCATGGCGTGATTCTTGGCCTTGAACCTGATTGCTTTGGTCGTAACACGGAGGGTGGTTCCCGCATCCATCCGTTGACTCTCCGCCTTGTTGGGTTGTACCTATGTAGCATTCGGAAGGGAGCGCTTTTCTAGTCGTTGTTGGTCGTCAGAACCATGTGGCTCTTGAGAACGTCGCTATTATTTCTTCTCTCGTCAGTGAAGTTGCATGTGAGAGTAGAGATGAGTTCGTCGGTACCGACGCCGCGAAGAATGCAGCCGGTGTTACGTTGGGTGCTGGTTCATGCAGAACCTGTAGATATTTTCCCCAACCCTTCGTATGACCGGTGCGCTCTCGTGCCAATCGCTGCCTTCATTATATCTCCTGTCTGCCTGCCTATATTGCTGCCTGTCTTTTTCTTTGCCTGCTGTCCGTCTGTCTGTCATGTGTGAACGTGCAAAGCTGCGGCAAAGCTTCCCGAGGGATCTCCCGTCACTGCGGCGTACACGACCACATGGGCACTCTACATCGGCTTGCACTCATTGTTTCCTACAGGGGGCACGGTGATGCGGGCGGTCTTCCAGTCCGCTTTCGTGGTCGGTGAGAGAAGATGCCCCCAACTCGTCTCAACGGTACATAACATCCTACCTTAGCCTTAACCCCTAGGCAACTGCGGTCTGATGTCTGCAAGCCTCTCTAGCACCTATGGGAAGAGAGGACGATCCAGTCTTTGCTCCTTAGTTCCTTCAACACCCACAAACCATGTAGCGACGTGTATGCTGTTTTCAACGTACAGCTTCAACGCTGACATCTCACACACCTTTTCTTGCATGCACTTTTTCTTGTACTCGTATCTTGCGCGCGTGTGTTTCCGTGGTGTCGAAACCCTCCCACCGCAGATTGGCATCGTGTTCATCGGACAACTGGCGACCTTCAGATGTCCCTGCACAAAATTACCGCCTAGCGACATTTTCCAACTGCATGTGGCGTAAGGCAAGGGTTCTCATGAACCGCTGGTGGCGGCGGGGGGAAGCCGTGCAAGTGCCCGTTTGGGTACTTTCCGTGCGGTCGCCATCCTTTAGTGTTCATTACCGTAATTGTCGGAGAGATGACACCCCCGTGTCAGCGGATTTCACCACAAGCAGAGGGGTACCAATGCCGAAAAGGTTAGTTTTGGAAACATCTCGTCGAGGGCTTTCCTGAGAGGTATTGGTTGGTGTTCTCACCCTCCTAGTTGTGGAGAAATAGGCTAAACGAAAGCGCTAACACGGGGGTGCCATCTCTCCGACTCTTACGGTACCCAGAGGATTATGTAGTTCTTTCCAAATATGCACGACCCGTCGCCGAGAGAATCCTTGCTCACGTTTGTGGTGGATCACATCTGATCTTTGGTGCTGGGTTTTCCCTACGGAGAAGCTCCAACAATATGTCATCGTGTGGAATGGTTAGGTCGGGGCAGGAGCAACATTCGAGGACTAGACTAGTCTGGGGGGGCAATGAAGATCAATGTTAAATTTATTGTAGATGAAGCGAGTACCGGTTGTTCGATTCCCTTTCCCACCCCTTAAAGGATTGCTGTTCACACGTACGTTCCTTTCGGGAAGGTTGAGTGGTATCGACATTTGTTGGTCTGAAATGTTTTTGCACGCACAACCTAGAGTATTTCACGGCCGCAAGGTTCGTTACGGCATTGGCGCAGTCGTGGATGTGCTTCCGTAGTCCTGACACTGAAAATTCAGCCGACGGCCGCAATAATTGATCCACAAAATGGCAAGAAACGACAGTACCAGCAGGGAGCAGAATCGCCGTCATCGACAACCCATATGTACAAGGCAACAAACGACAGTACCAGCAGGGAGCAGGATCGCCGTCATCGACAACCCATATGTACAAGGTCGCAAAAATATCCTGCAATCAGTGAAAGCACCCAAGAGACACCTCAGCGGGCCAGAAAACTCTACCAAAGCCGTGGATGAATGCTCGTACCCTAAAGACCAATCGACACAACAGGACATAAACGGTGTGGGGAAAATAAGGCTGGTATACTCCACCGGAGGGGGAGAGTCTTTCACTCTCTCCCTCTCTTGACACACACATTTTCTGAGAACATTCCTCGCATGTACAGTACACATATACTACACCAATGGAAACTACGGGGAAACGTTTTCAGCACGATGCAACGAGAGAACATACACATGGCAGCACGCCATCTCTTGCCTGGAGACGAGCACTGTCCACGCCTTCGCATACAGTAGGGCTTTCAGAACACCGAACACCTGCAGGCATCCATCCCCTTTGCAACAGCAGCGCCGCAGCAACATTATTACATAGCTTGCCAACATTCATGGCAGTCTCAGCAATGCCACCGAGAGTTGTCTACACGAGGCCTTGAAAAAATGGCGGGACTTCCACACAACACGAACCTGTGTTCCGGCTTGTTTTCAACTTCCGACTTTTCGCATTATTTACCCATTTTCCGAGATCTTTCCGGTTACGACGTGATCGGGAATCACTGCAACGTGAAAATCAACCTCTCTACGCAGGTTGTTAGCAGTCTATAGACAAAAGGTGGTCGTTATTCCCGATTTTGTACCGTGTCGTGCTGTCTACATGTAGAAAATACGACTAGCTGTAGAGACCAAATCACCATTTACGTGTACGTACAATTTTCACGTTTGGCCGAAGGAATTGCGGAGAAAAAAAGCTTGGCCTCTGGGCCTAGGGTACATAGTGTACCTAGAGTGAGTGCATGTTTTTCGAAAGCTCCGAAAAACAGCCTCAGAAAAATAGCTGCAGGGAGGTACAGAGGACGAAGAGGAGAAGGGAGAATTAGGGGGCATGGGAAGGCAATCACCTGCGCGGAGTCAGTCAGGAAGGCCGTGCGTTTTTCTATTGAATCATGGTGGGCCATGTATTCAGTTCGCCTCATGAATATCGTACCGCATGTTCCTTGTGCATCCTTGAGCATCCTTCCTTGTGGGTTAACCGACGCCCCGACGCCCCTGTGTCCAGTTTTTTTTTTTTTTTTCACACGCTCCTGCTACAGCAGAATACGGCAGACGACCACCACAGCACACACACCATCCGTCATTTCTCCACACACTGCTCCCAGCGGGGCACCGGGAAGGAAGCAACCGCCGCCTATAAAACTAACCTTCTCTCGATCGAGGGGCGAGAATGTGGTGAGTGTCCGTCCGTCCATGTCTTGGGTATGCATACCATCAGGCTCGCTGTAATTTATTGCTGCACGGTTTTTGGCTGCGGGCGGGCGTATGGTGCGCGCCTTTCAGAGGGTATGCGCAGAAGTGATTCCCAGCAGGCATACTTCTGGTATTCGTATAATCAAGGCCTCATGGACCTCTCACCTAGCCATCGCTGGTACGGCAGTTTCCACGAAAGCGTGCCGATCAGAGCGTGTACTGGCCCTTTGGACAGAACAGAGAGTTCCTCCTTCGGGCAGCGGTTTTGCGGACCCCGGCGGTTTCGCCGGCGGTTATCCCACTTGAATGTCCTTCCACCAAAGATACTGTTCGTAAGCATAGGTGTACCTAAAAGGCAGCTGTATAGTTAAACTTTCGGATTTCACCGACCGGTGTCATTTCTTGCTGTAGACTAGAGACCGAATTTTGGACGGGGGCATCGAAACGCGAGGTCACCACTCTTTGATTAACAGAGGCGACCTGAACCAACCTCGTGCTGTGGCCATAGTCTGTATGCGAAACCGGCTGGTGCGTCCAGAAGTTGTGTACACTACCACAGAAGTGTACCATCAAGAGGAAGACAAAGGTAGCATATTGCCTGCATGAAAAAATCCACTGGCAGAGTCGAAAACAACACGCGCACCGTGGGGGGTGTGGGCAGACCATGAATAAATTAAGGTGGCGCATCCGCGTTCGTCCGTGGCCAGCTTTCGATACCACGGCCTCTACTCTAAGAGTACCACGGCCTCAGGCCAGATAGGGAGTGGTTCGGGGTCGGGCTGTGCTGTTTGTGGTGGTTCGTGCGCAGACCATCGGCGAAATATCTTTGATTTGTACCATACCTCTACGGTGTGTATTTTCTACAGTGTGCATGTGAGCACTTCGGAGAGATTATGGCGGAATTCTCTCGTTTCTCGTTTCGGAGAGAGAAGGTCAGGCGGGCGGTGAAAATGATGGAATCAAGAGTGAGTGAGTACCTGCAGCAGAGAGATCCACCTTCAAACGAGCAATTTTCCGCCGGTGGCAGGTCCATCTCCGCCCGCCGTCGGAAGCGTCGGAATTGAGTGCGGAGTGTTGCTTCTCGGGGATATGCGGTTGCAGACAGTTGTGGTAGCAAGCTATATCCGTAGGCTGGTGTGTAGGCAGTTGCAAAATAATCAAACAATAGTATTAGTGCCCGACCTTCGATGAAGGGAACACTTTGCCAAAGGAATACCAATGACTCGAAAGGTTTTCTGGTAATAATGTTCAATGAGAAATCATTGACCGCCTTGGCGTCGATGAATGAGGGTTGTTCCAATTCATCTCCCCGCCTTTGATCCTCTTCCTTCATCAATAATATCCGTGCATGTCATACAGCCCACGTATACATGCTACGAGTGTGTGCACTTTGTCTATCGATGTACTACATGTACCCACTGCGGAGAGAGTAACAACTCCCATATCCTGTCGAATTATCAGAATATCTCAAGACATTTTGTATTCGTTTTTTGCCACAATCCTTTGGCATAGGTGGCAGGTGATCCCCACCTTGTTTTCGCTGGACGTTGCCGCGACCATTGCTATGCCGCGGCCGGCGATCCGCGTTCTGTTCCATGACTGTGCGTCGAGTAACATGTACCGCATCGTGGACTGGATCTGGGAAATGTCGAACTTTGGATCCCGGCACACCGTCGTCTTGATGTCCTTATACAGTCCTCCGTGAACCCTTGGGTGCAAATGTCCTTGAACTATCGATCTGAGATAGCTTCTCCCATCTTCTGTGCTTTTGAGCGGGGTAGGTGTTTCTGGTTGAGGTTCTGTTCAGGTTCCACCTGACTGTCCATCAGCTACTTCACGGTGACGCGGATGACTTCGTCTGCGACCTTGTTGTAGCTATCGCAAAGGTCCTTGAAAGCTGCCTGTCTGGCACCGCTATTCTCGCTGTCGTCTTCGTAGCCCGACTTATTCTGCTTGCATGTAGTCCATAACATTTTCAGTATTTCAACGGGGTGTCATCAATTTCTTTGCCATAGATGGGAAACGCGTGTGTAACAGCAGCAACGATGAGCAACATCTACCTCGAAGTAGAAGATTCGTCTAGATTAACAACATTCGGGATATCGAAACAAATAATAAACGTCATATCATCAAGTTCTCATACAGTAGTGGGGGCCCCGGTTTAGCGGCCCCTAGTGTCACGATGAAATATGCTCGCTATATAGGGCATGTCGCTAAACTCGGAGCCTCAAAATCGACTAGCGGTCGCTAAACGGGCAAAAACGCCATTTCGTGGGACGAAAGGCCGTGTCGCAGAAATCTTCTTGATCGGGCCATGTATGCGTCGTATTGCAGCAGTCCCACGAAGGTAGAGGGACGAACCAGCACTTTTGGTAGACAACCCGGGAGTTGTTCCTATACGGGATGCATTCCAACCAACCGGCAAGCTTGTTGTACCCTCCGAAGCTTTTAGGAAATGTCTCAACAACAAGTGCACCGCAGGGGGTGCCCTGTGTCTCTTTATTTCCCGCGTGCTGAAGCATTTGTCCCTACATGATGTTGACCAAAACATTTTAAACACGTAGAAGTCCGATCTGCGAATTATGTAAAAACAAAGGCGGGAAAGGAGAAAAGTCATGGCACGGAGAAAGTTCGTGAATGCCCAAGCGGCAAAGAACCTCGCGTTGTCATTATGTTCCTGTCGCATGTACCGATCATGTTTAACTAAACACTTCTCTGGTGTCCGTACGTCGCGCTGGTTTCGCGGAGCGCGCTTCGATGAACAGCATCTTTGCCTCGCGAAGATGGTGCGCTACCTCTCGCTTAACCAACACGACTCCGCGCACTCTTCTAGCGATCCAAAATGCCACGAAAGCTCCGAGTAGGGCGGCGGCGGTGCCATCACTTTGCCACCCCCCGCACTGCCAACTTCTCCCGCCCTATCTAGCTCTATCTCGTCGGAAGGGTTGGTCTCCTCCAAGTACGTATATCTAGTTTCTCGATGAGCACGCCGTTTGCGTCTGCAAAGCATCGACGATCTCTTCCTTCTCCAAGAACGCCACCCTCTGCCTCTTTGCGTTTGGGTGGATTCGAGACGGGGTCGGGAAGCCTGTATGTTCTTGGATACACATCCGGTGCTGGCGTCCACCGTAACCACCATGGCAAAACATGTCCCTGGGGTGCCCACAGTTCCACATCCGGCTGTTGACACAGCTCTCCATCGGCGCACGGCATGTTGCGTTTGTGTACGTGTCCCGCGGTGTTATGTCTTTGGGAACGCGGAGTCTCCGCAAAATTGGAACCAATGGTCGCTGTTGCCCGCTGAATAAGCCCAATAAGTCGCTATTGAGGGGTCGACCGGTTTAGCGACCACATGGTCGCTAAACCGAGGTGTAGCGGTGTCACGAGATTTTGGGGTCGCTGAACAGGGCATGTCGCTAAACAGGGGGTCGCTAAACCGAGGCCCCCTGTAATCATAACTACCCAGTCTCCCACACTACTGACAGTTTTGCTAAACCGCCCATGGGACGCCTGTGGGACACCCATGGGCCGCCCATGGGCGACCCATGAAATGCCGACCGTGGGTACTTCAACCTAGCTTTGCCACCGGCATATCAACCTAGAACTTTGCAACCTTCACACCAACCTAGAACTTAGCTACCAGCGCCAACCTAGCACGTATCGTGTGGGCTTGGGGTTAGGGTAGGGTTAGCGCTAGGGTTATTTGCCGCTGTTGTGCCCGTTCCAAAACAGCTAAGATATTGTTTAGAGTACTCTGGTTCGGTTGAAGGGGCTCTCATTGGTCGCCCATGGGCTTCCCGTAGGTTGCCCATGGGACGCCCGTGAGCTGCCCACGGGCTACCCATGGGTCGTTTGGGGAAACTGCAGAAAGTGTGGGAGACCCTAACTACCTGCCGTGCCGAATATACGCGCGAAATGACTCATAAGATATGGAGATTTCGAAATGCGATGAAATTTCCAACGAACGGTCGTGGTACTATGGACGGACATCTATGAAGCGTTGAAACAAATGCTACTTCTTCGTTGAAGCCCTGTTATCGCCTCGCGCGACTACTGGCGAACGTGTCTTGGCATATTCGTCGACACTTCGAACACCATTAGATAATATCATAGGACATATTTTCTTCGGCGACAACATCGGGAAGAGAAAGACGAAGGGGTTTTTTGAGTCGCTGGCTGTTTGGTTGAATACCACACCTACCTGCTGTTACGGCGGCCGAGTATTTTCCAGTTTCCAAACCGCGACAAGTCGTTTGTTGAGATCCCCTCTATTGTGGCAACAAAACACTCTGTCCATGCACGTGTGTGGTGTTCTCATCTACGTAAATCGGTGGTGAAGGCACACCGCAGCAATAATGAGCAAATGTGCAGATACACAACAAGTCATGAAGCGCTTCATTATGACATCTTGCCCGGTCCCATCCACACACACTCATATTCGGACATCTTTACGTCCAAATAGCATCTACTTTTTCCCTCCATTGATGCACACTTTTCACTTTTTCAAAATCGCCCCATGTTCTTCCTTCCACGTTCTATTCACACCCTGTCCACCTTCAACTTGCGATTTGGGCCCCGCCGCCCCCAGTGAGGGCGGCGGGGTCCCTAGCACTGCTCATACCTACGGCTAGCTGCGCATTTTAGCATACAAAAGAGATATCCCCGACATCTCTTTCCTGCTACCCCACATGCATACTACTACTGTTTCATGTATTTCACAACCCAACATGCATCTGCTCCTACGCCATACTGCTGTGCTTCTGACCGCGGAAATACAGGGGGTATCCAGGTTACCTACTGCAGCGTAGGGCTGCGCAGTCCACACAAAACTCACTCATAGATATCCCCGACGTTGCTGACGTGTGTTCTTGAGCGTGGTCTGCTATTGGGCTGTTGGCCGAAGAACCCAGCCATTTTCGGGTAAGGGGAGAGAGTAAAACTGGGTACCCCTCCGGGGGGCGAGTAGCCAAGGTTGCGTGCACTCGGCGGGAATAGGGTCAGGGTCGGGTAGGGGCGGGCGTCGGCCAATCATATGGCGCCAGGAGGGCGCTGCGAGCTGCGAGAAATAAGTGCACTCGATAATGGGCATATTCGGATCGGGTGCACCCGGTTTTGGCCACTGCTCGAAAAGTATGTAATTCCAACGGCCCTCCTGGACGAAAAGGAAAGACAGTCTCCAGTGGTGACGTTGACTGCCCCACCTAGCTGCGTGGCCACCTCGAGCCACCGACCTGTCTGTGTCTTGATAAATACCAAGGGTAGCCCCCGGGAACGTACGGGCGCAATGCGTGCCACTCCCTTTGTCCGGTTGCATCAGTTACCGATTTTTTAACGGTGTTGAGTCTTCCGGGCGATGTTCGCAGTTCGCGGGCAAGGTCATCACCGTTTACCATATACAGACGGCGCCCGCCGCGGAAACGACTCAAGCTGGGCGGGCACACCACTGCCTGTGTCCCGCACGACTTCCCTTCTGCCACTGATGAGCTGGTACATCGTTTGTGTTTTTCACTCTGGTCGCAGGAAGCCGAGCGAGGTGCTTGAACCGCACAGGCGTCGGGCGGTGGTGGTTTGGACTGTGTCGGTGGTCGCCATCTTCGCATGTGAGCGCATCGACACAATTGACTCGGGAGAGCCGAAACCGCATACCGTAGCACACCAAAGATGAACATAAAATCACGGTTGCTAACGGTCAATCGACCTCCGAGCTTAGATCTAACGCGTCGAGAGTAGAAACCCTTGCCGGAGGACTCCAGAGAATAGATCGCAACAGAATAAACACCACGCAGATCCCATGCTCTACAATACTTTGAACGATTCTCGAGGTCTCGATTAGTGATGCCCAAGACACCGACCATCATGACGTTCAAATCCCGTCGTGTATTTTGCTGTGAAATATTGGTTGAAGAATATTCCTCGATCCTTGATATAATTTTCCTCCCCCACGACAAGGTCATTTGAGCAAAAGGATTTCGCACGCGAACCCCGGGTAACCAAGTGAATTTCCTCGTGGTTTAATTTTACCACCTGTTTTACTGGTCTGATCATTCTGTAGTGCAGCTTCTTGATGGAATCACATCACGATGAGTTCGTCTGTGTCCGTTGCTTCCCAGATTCCGGCTGGCTATGCTACAAAGCAGCGGAGAAGGCGAAGGCGCCCGACACGTCTTTCGTATTGACGGTGAGGCGTGTGTCCCAACCGTTCAACCTGGACTGGCTTCCATGTCGGAAGCTATCGCCTACGTGGTGCCGTCCCTATGCAGGAACGCCGCTTTGTTGCTACCTTTGCTTCACCTACATTTTCAGATCTTGTTTCCGGTAAGCTAGCTGGCGAAACATGGATGCTGGGAATCAATTTAAGATTGGTTCCAAAGACGAAGGGGCATCACCTTCGTGGTTGGTGATTGATGCCGCTGGCGCATTCTTTGGTGGGAGGGGAAAATAGATGTAGGTGCTTAGTTATGAGGGCGCGCATAGTAACTCCGAGGAGATAAATTACTCTATATTTACCGTTGCATCGTGAGATCAAACTTGACGCCGCCGACTGCCCAGGCTTGTGCACGGTGTTCGATGCTCGCCCGCTGACGAGCAGAAGTCATGCTAAGGAAAACCCGACTGACCCAAGTTCGTTGTTGGTATTTCCTGTACCTCGCTGTATTTTCAGAACGAGGTATACAAGTTCCCCGACCTCTGGATTTGCCTGTTCGTGAACTATGGCTGCGACGAGTGGGAACTCGAGGAAGGGTGCGTGGATTCTGCGTGGATGACCGAGGGGGGCGTACCGGACGCGGTGTTCTACCCCAGAGTCAAATTGGACCAGCTACAAGAAACAACGACCGAGGAACTACAAATCGAAGCTATCCCCGAAAACACCGATTATGACAGCGAGGGAAACTACGTGGAGGATGTGAGCCTCGAAATGTTCTTTCCTTCCTTCATCATATCGTGTTTCTTGCTCCGGTTTGGGGCACGGTTTCACATGAAGACTTGCGGTGTTAACCTTTGAATGTACGGTGGCGTTTCCGTGCACATTAAATAGCCATAAGCCCACACCCAGGTCGGGCGTACAGGTGGGTGATGTGTCTAGTTCCACGTCGAAAGATGCGCCCTGTGCGCCGATTCCATAGCCGATATCTTCACAGCAGGAAGAGTGTCAGTGTCGAAGATGTCTCGTCGACGGAACAACATCGTTCAGAGTTAACGCCGTCCTTGTTGCTGAACGAGCCATCGAGTTTGGAACCAGTCGGTCTCGGTATCTGCAGTTTTTTCTTCGACAGACACATGTAGATCGGATGACGTACGAGAGACTACCCGCGTTACCGTACCAAAACATTTTTGGGAGGATATAGGCCACCGTTTCCTCCTCAATTGCCAGGTTCACCGTAGTCGCTCAAACACCCAAGGACTGCCCGAAAATGGTACCGTTGTCCTGAGAATTCAAGCTCGCAACGTTGTGGTTTGTTCTCGACCGTGATGCGTCGCCTTGTTGCAGGCCCTTTCGGGCGCTTCTATGTGCTTGTTTCGTGCGAGCGTAGGATCACCAACCGCGAAAAAAAAAGCGGATCCAATCCAACCTTGCCGAAAGTACCTGGTGTTAGCCGGTCTCCGCCGTACGTCGTCATACTGCAGCCCGCAGAGGCGAGCTTCAAGGAGTCATGATGCATTTTGCCTTTACACCATCTATAATAGCGAGACGTTTGAGGGTCTAATTATCTAACACTACCGTTCTTCTGGATCCGATGGCTTCATTGTTGTGGTGTATAGGGGAGAGGCCAGTGCGTGATTTTCAAGACGTCGGCTGCGACTACCTTCGTTGGACAAGAACGGGATCCCCACGAGTACCTGGACTACGTCCATTTGGATGTGAGCTACTTGAAGCGCCGAACCACGACTCTTGTGGTCCACGAAACACTAGCGTGCATGTCGTGTTTCCCAAATTTTGTTGAGTTGTTCGGTTTTTGCCCGCCGCGCGCCCACAGCAAGACCTCTTTCAGCCACGGTACGCCCATGTCCCTATGGACGTGTCCTATTTATCGTTTCGAACGCACACGTTTTCTTTATATTGTTGAATGTGTATGCATATGCCCGCCACACTACCGAGGGGATTTGCCGCCCAGAGTGCGTGGTGGTTCCCGACATGAACGACTCTTGAACAACGTATCTCCAAGCCTAGACCCAAACGTTGGGTTCCACACACATAAAGGAGTTTCACCACCCCATACGTTGTAGTGACACACATCTATCTGTCTGCTGGGGCGAATACAGCACCCACCGAGGGGCATGGAGTTGCCGTTGGGAAAACCTTTCAACATCTCCCGATTGTCTCAACAGCTCAAACACATGAGCGCGTGGGGCTGACGGCTATACTGGCTGATGCATGGAAGCAATAGTGTATCGCTCTGGCACATGTGGATATGGTCGCCAGCGGCTCTCTCAGACCACATGAGTTGGCAAACATTCTCGGAGCCACCGTTCGTACCGCTATCCCGGTTGTGTCACCTGTATGCCTCGAACCCAGCAGATGTACTGGTACCCCGGCGGCAAATTTGGAAACTCTACGACGTGCGTCGTTGACGGGGTCGAGTGGGCTGACCACAGGTAGGTGAAGATACGTTGTTTTTTTTACCAAGGCTGTGACCGCATGGCGGCCGCCCGCCCCTGTGGGGCGGGACGGCTACCGGTATCACACTACCGTCTTGGCGTATAGGTAGATCGGTTTGAAAGTAAACCTGTGGGCGTTATCGTCGTATGAGCGTGGAAAGCCGTTGCGTTCGCCGAGCGGTCTTCGTGGCGTTCCTCCCGCGCGTCATCTACGCTGAAACCCATTCATCACGTCTGTTGATTTTAACTCTTTGATAATCGTCTTTGAAAAGGAGGAATGACGAAAGGTACACCGCAAGTTGATTAGAGGAGGAAAGGCGGCAGCAGTCGTGAGACTGGGTGCAATTTCTATAGTTGCACGATAGACGAGTGTAGCGGGCGGTTTACAATTGGCAGTAGGCGATGACATGCAACCCGCAAAATGAGGTGGCATCCCATCCCTAACCCAGCTTGTAGCGACGGATGCTGGTAGCATGTGGGTAGCGTGTGAGATCGTACGTCTGCAGTATGAGGTCAAACAGGGATGATGTACAAACCCGGGAATACGGAAGAAAGTTAGAAACGTCAAGGTTTTTGCGTCTTTATGGACGCGCCCCACCGTCATCTCGCCAATAAGCGCGACGGAAGCATTCGCTTTTTGCTGTACGGGCAATGGTCTCAGCATGTTTGAATTTTCGTCCGCCAAAAGCGAGATTGGATTCGTTGGGGCGAAAGAACACAAAAAATGTCAAATTTGGGCATGTGTCAATTCTATAGGTACGATATGCTGCAATCAAGATGTGCGCGTCGAATTTTTCTCCGACACTGGATTCTCCAACCTATGTCTGGCACAAGTGACATTCTCTGTGGCGAGTTTACCGATCACCGGGATACACATCTTCGTTCCCCTGCAGACAAACCACAAGGAGTTGTGTCCCTCACGGTGGCAGGTTTATCAGATAAATGCTCAGTCGTACAGTAACCGCCTCTATACAATGCTTCACCATGCATTTTCCATCTCCCGTCTTGCGGCAGGGAGTGGGTATATGGCTTCCTGAGCGACCCCGAGGACCCCGCAGCGATTTCAACAGGATTTCCGTTGTCCTACAGCTGCATCACGAACACCTCCAACACCCACATCTTCAACACGCTAGTGAGCAAGAATTCGTCGGACTGCTGTCCGGAGAGGAGTAGATGTTGATGTTAGGCGATGTTGGTGGGGTTTCAGCTTGTACGTGAGCAGCCGCGACTTACGTTGCCACATTACATTCACCCTTGAGGCCATCACACCAAACCAACAAAGAACCAACATTCTTATTTTTCCAACACGCCGTTTCCATCTGAATTGAAAATGTAAAGTAGTTGCCCATGAAGATCATCAAGCAACACATTGGGTCCTTTTGAGGTGTGGCGTTAGTGTTACCCTTTTGACTAGCCGACAATGGTCATGTGTGTTTCAAGAGGAAGCCGTTTTCCCAACAAGTCGGCATAATGTGGCTCCCCATTCTGTGTTTGTGTTCGGGCTTCGCGCGCTCCTGTTGCCGGCGTGTCAGGGCATTGGGCTTACCAACCAGAACAAGTTCATGGAGGATGACATTTCATCGTACAAGGCGCTATTTACGAACTTTGGGGTTCACAAGAATACGGTGCGTCTGAATGCAGTTACGGGTTGTTCGCCAGTTGTTGGTGCTGTTGTTGTTGTTGTTGAATTGTCCGGCACTTCTTATTTGTCCGCAATCGTGCTTCAACTATGCAGGTGAACCCAAACGTTACCATGCCGTACGCCCACCTGTCTCTGGAGATGAAGCAGCAGGCTGACTCTTGGGAGATCATCACAGAGTCCAATCCGTACGAATTCGCCGAGATGTTCGGTAACATTGGCGGGTTTTGGGGTGAGTGAGACAAAAAGAATCGGTACAGGTAGTGCAGTCGCGGAATTGTCGTACATTCTTCGCCCTACAATGATAGCATCCCCGCCCGTGTGCCTAGGAGAACAGACCTTCCGCTCTAGCGACTCGCGAAGATTATTTGTGACGAAGCGCGTAGTCGTTCATGCTTCATGAACGATTGGATCTGTTTCCGACGTTGTCTCGGCCGCCACGCACCCTTTCCGCTGACTCCCCCGCCACAGATCTTCTTCTTATACTGTGGCCCTTATGCTTCGTCGCGACCACTCAACAAGATCCCCACCTCAAACCTCGCACCTTCAAGAAGTCAGTCATCAGGGGGGCCGAACGCGCGGCGGGTGTTACCAAAGTGATAGCGCGTGCGGCGCCGATAAGACACTCCAGTTCAATGACCGCAACGCCCGCAGTAGATGGATTCGAAGATCAAGAAGTAGTGCCCGCGTGGGAGGGACAACCTGTGCAAAAACAGCGGCCCCTCCAATTAGCCACCAACTGGCAGGACGCGCGCCGCTCTTGACCTCGTCCCCATAGGAGGGCGATATTTGTACACATTGGGGCCGAAAGCACCCCGCCAAGACGTGAAGGGATGCGCGTCAGGACATCGAAAGCAGGGAAGCCATGAACGTGGAGGCGAAAAGCCCTTGCCGCATAGGACGAAACGCGTTATTCGTGGGCCGCGTTACAAGAATAGTGGAGAAGCGAGTCATGTAAAGCTGGACGGTTGTGCTCGCAATTGTGTGTTGGGTTGTGCTTTAATAACTCCCTGCCAGAGTGGCAATAGCGCTGATTCCAGGTTCATAGCGTGTTCTTCACGTATCAACGATGCCTTAACAGCTGCTTCTTGGCCGATTCGTTCTGGTGTAGCTTGTGTTTGCACCAGAAACGGTTTGGGCGTCTTTTGCTCGGGTGCTCCTTGTCGTGTGATTTTTTGTTTGTTTGAGTCGGTACGATCGATCCCACAGTCACCTCTTCATCGTTTTCCCTTCCTTGTCCCGTAGCTCTGTTTCGTTGATGCACGTGGGGTGCTGACAATACCTTCCTTCCTTCCTACCTGGCTGACACGAAACGATCTTGTTTTTCGGATGAACACAAACGACGAACAACACCCACCCACTTTTGCCACCAGGGCATGGCCTTGCAAAGAGAACAACGTTTCCGTTGGCTTCAAAAGTCGGCTTGTTGGAGGAGGGGCGGACCACACGGTGGTGCATACATTTTATTTACATGCGGATTCTAATTTATCGAAACGGGGGCGCCGAATGATGCTGGCTGCAGACGGGTTAGAGGGTACGGTATCGGGTTTGCAAGGGCAGGTTTGGAAGGTGGGACGTGCGCAGTGGACCTCAAGGTTGGAGTTTGAAATTCGGTCCGACATTGTGAGTATGTATTAGGGTATCCTTTGCACTCGGCCGTGGTGGCGAGAGTTCGCCGGGTGATAAAACAGAAACTCGATAGGAGTTGAGTACAGTTTAATGAGAAATATCTTGTGTATTATCAAGCAATGCTTGTTGTATGGTGATGGAATTCGGGGCCTGCTATCGAAACGAAAAGAACACCGATCAAACAAATATCGCGCGTTGTTGGTTTTAATGACCTAACAAGAGGTTCGACACGTTACACGTCATTGGGTGCGGGTTCAGAGGCTGGACGACTTGGGAATTGGTCTTGGTCTTGGTCTTGGTATTTTCTTGAGTTCCTGCGGGAAAATTTATACTTTTAGTTCCTCGAGAGGTAAGCGAGCCTGAGAAACGAGCGAACGTTCGTTGGTTCTCGCGTTTGCTGTCATGGAAACTACTGTTTTCATCTTTGCTGACGGCGCTCATGTTGCTTTTATATCGTTTACCAGTACGCTTATCGTTTAGTTTGCTTCGATTCCTTTGTGTAGTAGTACTAGTCCTCGATCTCGTCCTTAAGTGAGATGATGTTTTGCGATACCCAGCAAGGGTAGTTGTGAGACATCCTCTGTGCCTAGAAGCGTACGGGATAACGGAGTGAGGGGTTGGTCGTTTTCTCGGTGATAAGCCAGCTGAGCTTAAATTCGGGCGAACCTCTGGGGCGACGGCGGTGTAGGGAATGGGTAGACCGAAAGAAGAATTCAATTGTCTATCTTGCAGGGAGCCGAGACAAAATCTAGTCGTCGACTGCGGGTACCGTACGACGGGCAGTGGAAAGTACTCGTTGCTTGCTTGCAGTGGATGCGAGGGCGTCCTCGGCGATCAAGGGGCATATACGTATGACGGAAACAGGGTCCTGTAGTTCCGGTTTACTCCCGACACGGACGACGTTAGTATCTGAACAAAGGATTCAATATTGTCATAAAGTTTCATGATTTGTCAAGAGGCGCCACGAGGTATCATGAGGTAACAGGAGGTGACAGGAGGTGACCGGAGATCCCATGAGGTCCCATGAGGTGTCGTAAGTCACAATGGGATGTCATAAGGTGTGATGAGAGGCCACGAGATCCCGTCCGGTGTCTTGAGGTGACAGGAGGTCCCGTGAGGTTTCATGAGTACCGTGAGGTGTTGTAGAGCACAATGAGGTGTCATGAGGTGTGATGAGAGGCCATGAGATCCTACGAGGGTTCATGAGGTGCTCACGGGGTGTCATGAGGTGTCATGAGAAGCCATGAGGTCCAATGAGGTCCCATGGGTTGCTACGTGCGATGTCATGAGGTGTCATGGGGTGCCATGAACTGCCATGAGGAGCCATGAGAAGCCACGAGGAGTCACGAGGTGCCAATAGAATCCATGTCGTACCATGAGGTGCCATGGGAAGCCGTGAGGTGCCATAAGGTACCATGGAACGGCTCACGAGGGGTCCAACACTTTGTCGTACTCGGTCGTACTCGGGTATGTATATGAACCGACCCAGTACTGCAGTACGAGAAACACCGCACCACCAAAAAAACACGAACGTTGCAGAGCATGTGACCACATACTGCGGATCGAGGTTAGTCCAGAGGGCGAGATCAGAGAGAAAAAGAAAGTAAGACCGACGAAAAGCTGACACGACGCCAGAAAGGCAAGAGAGGAAAGCGAACCAAAACCAAACACGACAAAGAGGCAAGAAGAGGCAAAGACACAACGAAGCAAAGAGTAGACAAGCAGAAGAGGGGACACAACATTTAACCGGTTGCGTACATCATCACGCGCTCGGCCCTCTGAGTCCCAATCGCTTCAATGACGGTTATGCCCCGAAGTCCGCAGCGTTTTGGTTTGTTTCTCTCCCACCCTCGCTAGCTTCTCCGCGTCGCTCCTCCCACCTCCAAACCTACCGACATGGGGACCTGGGGGGGCTCTATTACTGTGGACACAACGCTGTTTACCCACAGGACGAGTCAGCTCCGCCGCCAGGCGCTCCGATGGGTGTGCGTGAAGTGCGGGAGGCATGATCACACACTCGGGAACTGCAACATGCTCCACGCCGCTTTGAGGGGAACTGCACTTCCTGCGGTGAGTATGGCCATCGGCGCCGCATGTGTTCCACAATCAATCATCGGCTGCTTGTAGCAACACAATCAATAACGTGATGGAAGACTTCCGATGGAAGCAGAAACCATCATGCTCGGCTTGCCAGACACCTTGGTGACAACTGTGGCGGCACTCGAGCTATGTGTACCCCAATCTCCCGTAGGCAAGCGTACGATTGATGGAGAAGCCCCCCTCATGACCGTAGCCGGCGATGCCAAGTCTGTGTAGAGGGAGGGGTGGGAACAGGCCATGAGGGAAGAGTTTGACGGGCACCTGGGCACAAGGACGTTTTCGTTCGTAGAAGGTAAACGGGAGGGGTGTAGGCCTGTGAGCTTGAGTTGGTGTTTACAGTAGTTGGAAGACGGCAGGAGGGGAAAACGAGAAGTTCAAAACGCGTCTGGTTGCTCAGGGTTTTCGCCAATCCCTAATATAGACTACACTTATTTGTCTCCCCCTTACTCATCATCCGCATCCATTAAAATGGTGCTCTCGAGAGCCAACGAAAAGGGCATGAACCTCAACCACTGGGACGTAAAGCAGGCACACACACATGCCGAGTTGGATGAGAAAGTGTACATGAGACTCCCCGCTCAATGCGAGGAAACATTCTCACCAAGTCGTGAAGGCTGAGGGTGCTCTTTACGGCTTAACGCAGAGCGGTAGGCAGTGGGTACTACGCTGCCCACACGCTAGTCGAGAACCGCTCCGAGTAGTGCAAGGAGGACCCGTGTGTTTCCCGCAAGGTGGTAGAATGTGGTGGTGAGTCTATCGTTATGTTCGTGGATGAAATTTGGGCGGCTAGGTGTGATCGAGATTGTAGGAGTTGCTCGCTTCTCTCAACAAGAAATTCCCCACCAAGACCTGGAGAGTGCATGTGGTTTGACGAGTGTGCCATTGAGGGAGACGTAGAGGCTGGGCCCAAACCGCGTACATTGACAGCATGGTGAATTGCTTCGATGTACAATCGACCTTCCCCATCCCTGCTTCCCTGGTGCCGACCTAGGACCGAAGTGAGATGACTAGAGTGGAGGGGAGTGGCCGGCAAGGGAAGCCATCGGCAGCATGATGTGGGTGTCGACGTCCTCGCCGCATGTGTGGTAGCGCGAGCAACTCTCCGTATGTGTGGTAGCGTGCCCATGCTCCGACCGAGAGGCATTGGAAGGCCATTCCGCAGATCTTCGCATACCTGGAGGGGACGAGGGACCTCGGCATACCTGGAGGGGACGAGGGACCTCGGCATCGCCGTAAAAACGGGGGTCGGGGTTAGACTGGGTATACGTAGACGCCAGCTATGCCGGCGTGGAAGAGGACAGGCGTTTGGTATCAGAGTTGGCAATGGCAGTTGGTGGTATCGTAGTCAGCCTTGGTAGCAAGACGTAGAGCATCGTGTGTTTGTCTTCGATCCAAGTCGAGTACATAGCTACCGGGGAAGGTATGAAGGAGGCTTTTTTTGTGCATAAAGTGCTTTCCTGTTGCCCCAGAAACCAGTGGCAGCAGCTTTCAGGTCCCTGAGGACAACCAGGGGGCCATGGTTTTGGTGCAGAGTCCCCTAGCTCTTCACGTAGCAGGCACAATCATGTAGTCTAGACGTGCATCAGGTGACATTTCGATCAAGTATATGTTGACGTCGGAGAAGCACGCCGACCTGCTCACCAAGGCTCTTTTACAGGGTCAGTCTGCAGTAGTATCTGCAGTACCACCCAGGCGTAAGTCGATGAATTTGCAGGAGTAGTTGTAGCATTCACGGAACTGTTGGGAAATGCAATGTATACCATGCGGGGAAAGACAACGCTCTCTTGATTTTTCCACGTGAATGCTACCGTTGGGGTTGAAAACCGAATACCCCACCGGAAGCTGCCCCCGTGGAGAGAACCGTGGAGAGAACGGACGAGTCACCTCTGTTGGTGCACTGCTGCCCTCAGCGGTCTGTGGTGTTGAGACTGGGGACTATGTTATCCCAGGAACAGTAGATGAAAAAGAACCATGTATTATATATATCCGTCACGCAAGCCCCTCAGGCAAGCTGGTACATTCAACACGCAAGCCC